ACTGGAATAAGAAAATGTGGCACATATACACCATGGAATACTATGCAGCCATAAAAAAGGATGAGTTTGTGCCGGGCGCGGTGGCTCAAGCCTGTAATCCCAGCACTTTGGGAGGCCGAGACGGGCGGATCACGAGGTCAGGAGATCAAGACCATCCTGGCTAACACGGTGAAACCCCGTCTCTACTAAAAAATACAAAAAACTAGCCGGGCGAGGTGGCGGGCGCCTGTAGTCCCAGCTACATGGGAGGCTGAGGCAGGAGAATGGTGTGAACCCGGGAGGCGGAGCTTGCAGTGAGCCGAGATCCCGCCACTGCACTCCAGCCCGGGCGACAGAGGAGACTCCGTCTCACAAAAAAAAAAAAAAAAAGGATGAGTTTGTGTCCTTTGTAGGGACATGAATGCAGCTAGAAACCATCATTCGCAGCAAACTATCGCAAGAACAGAAAACCAAACACTGCATGTTCTCACTCATAGGTGGAAATTGAACAATGAGATCACTTGGACACAGGAAGGTGAACATCACACACCAGGGCCTATTGTGGGAAAGGCCACCGTGACCTATTCACCCTCCACTTCCTGTCTCAGAATCTAAACGTGGTCACCTTCGAGTAGAGAGGTCACCTGCAGATGACACACGCTCTCCACCACCTAACGCAAACCATGAGAATTTGCAACAGGGGAGGAAAAAAGAATCAAAACTTCCAAGGCCCTGCTTTTTTTCTTAAAAGTACTTTAAAAAGGAAATTTGTTTGTATTTTTTATTTACATTTTATATTTTTGTACATATTTTGTTGAGGTCAGCCATTTTTAATGATCTCGGATGACCAAACCAGCCTTTGGAGCATTCTCTGTCCTACTTCTGTCTTTACTTGTGGTATGACCATGTTCATTATAATCTCAAAGGAGAAAAAAAAACCTTGTTAAAAAAACAAAAATGACAACAGAAAAACAATCTTATTCTGAGCATTCCAGTAACTTTTTTGTGTATGTACTTAGCTGTACTATAAGCAGTTGGTTTGTATGAGATGGTTAAAAAGGCCAAAGATAAAAGGTTTCTTTTTTTTCCTTTTTTGTCTATGAAGTTGCTGTTTATTTTTTTTGGCCTGTTTAATGTATGTGTGAAACAATATTGTCCAACAATAAACAGGAATTTTATTTTGCTGAGTTGTTCTAACAAATAAAATAAAATAAAATAACCTATGTTGTTTTTTAAAGGGGGGTGTGGGAGAGGTGGGAGAAGAAATAGGGGTATAGATGAAACATGTTTAGCCATAAATTGATATGTGTTGAAGTTGAGTGATGGGTAGGGTATATGGGATACATGACACTACACTTACTTCTGCATATGTTTTAACTTTTTCCATAATAAGTTAAAGAAAAAAGACTTGAAGAATGGACTCTATATATGAACGATTCATTCCAGAGGATGGTTTTTCCAGTCATTGTTATTTTCTCCTTTGTGTCTTTCTTTTTGTATTTTCTAAATCATGTTGGCATGATTTAGAAACTACTTTGATATCAGAAAACAAAGAAAGCAGCCTCCTGAAACTCTAAACAAGGACATGTAATAGTTTTAAAAACAAAAGATTCTCACTAAATTTGGAGAAAAAAAGAATATTTAACAGCACATGCTCTTAGACAATTTTTTAAAAGTTAGGTAATGGAGGAAAACATTAGAAAGGAGAAAAATGAAGAACTGTACCAACTTTATTATGACACAGAGTTGCAATTTATGCAGAACTTACAAAAATAAACTAAAAGTAGGCCACTTCTACAAACTTGCCCCAAATATAAACTTCCACAGATAGAAACAACATATAGTTATTAATTGCTACATTATGTAATGGTAAAATACTAGAAAAAAAAAAAAGGCCATCCATTAGAGACAGGCTGAATAACTATTCTACCCACACAAGAGAACATACAGCTATAAAAATAAATGAGGAAGACCTTTATAGGCTCCTATAGAGTTATCTCCAGGATACAGTAATGTGTGAAAAAGAAAAAAGGTACAGAATGGAGTACATAGAATATTCCTTTTAATTAACAATAAAAATTGCATACATACACATATATATAAACACATATATCATTTAAAAGAAAAATAAAAGTAAAAACCAATGAGAAATACAGGTAGTTATCTATAGAGGGAAGAAGGAAGCAGGTAGAGGGGACAGAAATGGACACTAGACTTCCTCAAATTCATCTTATTCTGTTTTGATTTTGGATCTATGTTACGTAATTTTAAAACAAAATTAAATCATAGTGGGAGAAAAGCAATCCCTAAACATGAAAAGCAATATAAAACAAATGAGCCTAACTGCATTTCCAGTTGGCAGCTTAACCATATGAGAAGTATTATTTTAGGTGACTTTTAAACACAGTAATTTGATTATAGATCCCTAGTGGGCTATATCCTATCAAACTCCAACAGGACTTTATATTGTTTTTCTATATTCATATGGTTGGTAAAAATATTGGTATTGTTATTTTGAAGCTCTTTGTTTCAACCCAAGAGAAGGCAGAAAAGTGAGAACAGGAAATAAAGAACAGATGGGATAAATATAAAACAAATGGCAAAATGATAGATTTGAACCAAACCATATCAGTAATCACACTAAATATAAATGGACTAAATACTCCAATTAAAAGATGGAAATTGCTGGTTTGGTGTGATTGTTCATGCCTAAAATCCCAGAAATTTGGGAGGCCGAGGCAGGCAGATCACCTGAATTCAGGAGTTTGAGACCAGCCTGGCCAACATGGTAAAACCTTGTCTCTACGAAAAGTACAAAAACAGTAGCTGCGTGTGGTGATGCACACCTGTAATCCCAGCTACTTAAGAGGCTGAGGCAGGAGAACCACTTGAACACAGGAGGAGGAGGTTGCAGTGAGCCGAGATGGTGCCACTGCACTCCAGCCTGGGTGACAGAGTGAGACTCTGTCCCAAAAAAAAAAAAGATGGAGATTGCAAAGTTGAATAAAAACATAGACCCAAATACATGCTGCCTATAAGAAATACACTTGAAATATTAAAACACAAGCAGGTTAAAAAGGATAGAAAAAGATATACAATGCTAATATTAATGAAAAGAAAGCTGGAATGTCTACATTAAATTTCAAGCAAAGTAGATGTTTGGAGCAAAGAATATGAGGGATAAGGAAGACCATTTCCTAATGATAAAGGGGTCAATTCACCAGTAGGATGTAAAAATCTAAAACCTTTCTATACCTAATAATAGAGCATCAAAATACATGAAGCAGGCCAGGCATGGTGTCTCACACCTGTAATCCCTGCACTTTGGGAGGCCGAGGTGGGCAGATCACCTGAGGTCAGAAGTTCGAGACCAGCCTGGCCAATATGGTGAAACCCTATCTCTACTAAAAAAAAAAATACAAAACTTAGCTGGGCATGGTCGTGCCCGCCTGTAATCCCAGCTACTTGGGAGGCTGAGGTAGGAGAATCACTTGAACCTGGGAGGTGGAGGTTGCAGTGAGCCGAGATCATGCCACTGCACTCCAGCCTGGGTGACAAAGCAAGACTCTGTCTCAAAAAAACAAACAAAAAAATACATGAAGCAGAAACTGAAAGAAACTACAAGGAGAAAAATCCAACAAACAAAAAATCAGTAAAGATATGGAAGATTTTAAAAAATACTATCAACCTACCTGACCTAGTTGACATTTACAGAACATTCCACCCAACAACCACAGAATATAGTCTTTTCAAGTGCACATGAAACATTTACTAAGATGCATCAAATTCTGGGTCATAAAACAAATCTTAATAAATTTAAAAGGATTCAAATCATACAAAGCATATTCTGTGAACACAATGTAACGAAATTAGAAATCAGTAACAAAAGATCTCTAGAAGATCCTCAAAATACTTGAAAACACGACAAATCAAAATAACCTATAAGTCAAGAAATCAAAAGGGCAAATTAGAAAGGATTTTTTATTTTTTTGAGACAGAGTCTCGCTCTGTTGCCCAGGCTGGAGTGCAGTGGCTGGATCTCAGCTCACTGCAAGCTCTGCCTCCTGGGTTTACACCATTCTCCTGCCTCAGCCTCCCTAGTAGCTGGGACTACAGGCGCCCGCCACCTCACCCGGGTAGTTTTTTGTATTTTTTAAGTAGAGACGGGGTTTAACCGTGTTAGCCAGGATGGTCTCGATCTCCTGACCTCGTGATCCGCCCGTCTCGGCCTCCCAAAGTGCTGGGATTACAGGCTTGAGCCACCGCACCCGGCCCTAGAAAGGATTTTTGAACTGAAGGTAGAATAAACGAAACAAGATTGGAAAGTAATCGCTTTTTTTTTTTTTTTTTTTGAGACAGAGTCTCGCTCTGAGGTCCAGGCTGGAGTGCAGTGGCGCAATCTCAGCTCACTGCAAGCTCTGCCTCCCAGGTTCACGCGATTCTCCTGCCTCAGCCTCCGGAGTAGCTGGGACTGGAGGCGCCCACCACCACGCCCGGTTTTTTTTTTTTTTTTTTTTTTTTTGTATTTTTAGTAGAGACGGGGTTTCACCTTGTTAGCCAGGATGGTTTCGATCTCCTAACCTCATTCCATCCTCCTCGGCCTCCCAAAGTACTGGGATTACAGGCATGAGCCACCGCACCAGGCCATGATCGTTTTTAAGCTAGGAATATTCATTATACTTTTATGTACATTTGAAACTTTCCATAAAAAGTTAAAAAACCAAAATGGTGCTGTATCAGAAATAACACAATAGAGCTCTTTCCCTTTTCAAATAACACAATGGAGCTATTTCCCTCTTCCCCTTTTTAAATCCATGAGTCTCGAATCCATTCTTCCTAAACTTAACCACTATTGAGATGTATCTATCCCAATTAATGGCACATTTTCTTTGCTCTCAATCTACCAAAAATTGCCTTGCCCCTCTATCATGTGAGAAGGCAGGAAATTTCAAAAAGAAAACAAAGATGTCTATGTCCTGTAATAACAAATGTATTTCAGGAAACAAAGAGGAAATACTCACCTTGGACATTGCTACTGAAACAGCCATTCTTTCTCCTCTGGGCTCTACTCTCAGAAAAAGAAAAATGGAATGAGATATTATGCCTTTCTTGGGGAATATGCTAAATTATAACATATCCTCTTCCTCCATCCTCAATCTCATTTAACATAAAGAAAAGTCAGGAGGACACTAGAACAGGTCCTTCTACCTTCTGTATCAGAAAGAAGGGCCAGGTCACAGCTGTCTTGGGCTTGAATTTATTTCTGGATTCAAAGCTGTACACTGGAGACAGCCCTGCAGTGGAGTGCTTCAGGTTCAGAACTGGGTTGCTGTCTCCTAAAGCACTCCCTCTGAAACTTTTCCCACGCCTGGAATCCCATTACATTTCCAGTGGTCTTTTTATTTATTTATATATATATTTTTGAGACTGAGTTTTGCTCTTGTTGTCCAGGCTGGAGTGCAGTGACATGATCTTGGCTCACTGCGACCTCCACCTCCCGGGTTTAAGCAATTCTCCTGCCTCAGCCTCCTAAGTAGCTGGGATTACGGGCATGCGCCACCACACCCGGCTAATTTTGTATTTTTAGTAGAGACAGGGTTTCACCATGTTGGTCAGGCTGGTCTCGAACTCCCGACCTCAGGTGATCCACCCGCCTCCGCCTCCCAAAGTGCTGGGATTACAGATGTGAGCCACCACGCCCAGCATCCAGTGGCTGTCTTGAAGGTATTATCAGCCCTAAAATTCTCATCCCAAGACCAGGTCTGTGGCTCGCAAATAACTCCTGTTCTTCACTCAGGTGTCCAAATGTCTGACTTCCTTATTTCTTGCCACTTCCTTGCATCCAATCCCCTTAAGGCTATAAGGCAAGAGGACGCAGGGAAGAAGTCGTGAACCCATAACTACATTTCCCAAGGTGAACAGAGGATGGATACAGAAATAAAGCAATACAAGCTATGTATGAAAGGGCAACCACTGTGGTCAAAACAAAAAGTCCTTAAGTCCTCAGAGCCACATGGGAGGAGCACATGGGACTCATAATCCATAGGCCGACCTCAGCCCCAAATGAACCCCAGAAATACCAAAAAGAAATTTACTTCTGTACTGAACTAAACCCCCATAAGGTCACAGACTATACAAATGGCCACATAAAGTCACACATAATCACATTTCCACAGTCACACAGCTAGAGGCACAATCACCCAATTATGCTACATTGTTAGACCACCTCGTGTCAAACAAAATCCCTTTAAGTCAAGGCATATAATTACATCCAAGCACCTTGTCAGAGACACCGCCAAAAACAACCTTTCAAAGCTGCAATTTTAGTCTCTTTACACAGTCAGGAAAACAGCACACACAACCCCACAGTCACACACAATCAGTCACCCAACCAAGTACCAGATCAGGGAAACACGCGGTCACAAACACCGTGTCACAGCAACACTGTCACACACCTTAAATTTACTGGCAAATCCGTCACACGATATCAGGTTTATACACAAACTCAAAGTGACACAAGCACATCCAAACACTCTTGTCACAACTGTCACACACTTCATAGTCACAGGCAAACTCCAATTATACACGCGGCACACACACAATCACAGTCACGTAAGTATATCCCAGCCAGGTAAGCAGTCACAAACACCCTCAGAGTCACAAACAACTCACAGTCACACAAATGCTCATACACAAAACCACAGCCACACACGTCCAGTGTATGCACAGGCAGTCGCCAATACCAGGTAGGCTGTAGCCTGCACACAAAACCGGAGACACGGCCACACGAGTAACCCCAGCGACGCTTTCTCCGCGCATGTCCGCTCTGACACCCCGGACACTCCTACCTTGACAGAGATGCAGTTAGGGTCCAAGATCTGGCGCCCGGGTTCCAAGCCCGATTTCGGGTTCGCCAGCCCAGCAGGTGCGGAGCCAAGCTCCTCCACAGACGCGGCCCTCTCCCCACGCGAGGCCTCCAAATCTCGCAAACTAACGGAAATGAAGCCGCGCTCCGGACGCGGTGCCTCTGGGAAATGTAGTCCAGTGCTCTGGACACCGTGCCTCTGGGAAATGTAGTCCAGCGCTCCGGACACGGTGCCTCTGGGAAATGTAGTCCGGCACTCTGGACACGGTGCCCCTGGGAAATGTAGTCCAGCGCCTGGCTGACCGGCCAGGACGTGAGGAGGCCCGGGCGGCTCACCTCTCGCGGGCTAGTGGACTCAGCCTGCCGCGCCCCAGAGGTTTCTGGGAGTGCCCGCCCGCCCACGTTTGGTGCGCAGGCGTTAGGCGCTCAGGGCCTGCCAGAGCGAGCTCTGAATGGTTCCGGGGTCTACCCCTGGCAGGAGAGAGGTTGGGACCGGCCGTCCAGGCAGGTGCGAGGCAGGAGCCGGGGCCGGTGCGGGGACCCGCCGGAACCTCGGATTTGCAGAGGATCGTCTGTGTGCCCTGCCAGGCCCTTGGGGTGTGTGCGCGTGTGTGTGACAATGGGAGATGCCGGGTGGACCGAGAGTCTTTCCGTGACCGGGTGTGTATGGTTGTTTCTGCCTGTGTGTGATTCTTCCTGCTGTGGGGTGTGAGGTGATTTGTACTTTAAGCTGCGTAGTAATGGGATTTTATCACTGTGTAGAATCGTCTGACAGTAAGACGATTCTACACAGCTCTCTACCATGGTTTGCTTATGAAGGGTATCTGCATGTATATCTGCTTTTTTGTGTGTGTCCGTAATTGACTGGTCATTTGTGTTATATAAACGTGCTTTCCTTGTGCTTGTATTTCAGTGTCTGTAAGGGTGCCAAAAGCAAATGAGCTGTGTGTGATCGCGTGTGCCAATGAAAATACTATGGCCAGGTTATTTCTTCCTTAAGTAGTAATGTAATCTGGAAAAGATAATCAATTTATCTGACAAGTGATTTAGACATGATTTTTCTATTGGATCAAATATATGTGTTATGGGGAAGAATCCAAAATTAACGTAGTTTTTTCTTTGTTTTTAGAAAGATTATTGCAAAACCAGTCCTAGGGTAAACTGCCTTTTCCTCTGCCACAGTAGGCCAAAAGTAGATATCCATTATTTTCTAATTAGAGGGTAAAGTTTCTGCTATTACTGGGTAAGGTTGAGAGGCCATCAACTAATAAAACAATAAAATTATGTTATACATAAGAAGAGTGAATTTTAGGACAGTACAGCACTAGTCAGATTTCCCAAATTCTAGGTCAAACACTTCATTTTCTGATGAGAAAACCTTGATTGGCAGAAAGTAACTTAAGGCTGTAGAGTTTGTTGGTAAACCTGAACTTATTTTTACTTACTTCAAGACCTCTTGACCTTTTACGATTTTTGAATAATCAAAAACTTGTGAACTTCCAGCACAGAGAAGATAGAGTATAATTTCACCACTCCTTCAGAGGGAAAAACATTAATAAAAGTTGGTCTTTCAAGACCATATATCAAATACATTGATCTCTTCCTGGTAATGTGACTGGAATAGCAAATTTGGGGACCAGAATTCTTGAGTGAATGAACCTGTGTGTGTGATCAGGCATAGCTATGTGAAATATAGATAATTATATTGCACTGAGATAGAGTGGGTCAAAGTCGGGCAAGAATTATGTCCGATTCACATGCAGACGTATGTTTATTGCGGCACTATTCACAATAGCAAAGACTTGGAACCGACCCAGATGTCCATCAATGATAGACTGGATTAAGAAAATGTGGCACATATGAACCATGGAATACTATGCAGCCATAAAAAAGGATGAGTTCATGTCCTTTATAAGGACATGGATGAAGCTGGAAACCATCATTCTGAGCAAACTATTGCAAGGACAGAATACCAAACACTGCATATTCTCACTCATAGTTGAACAATGAGAACACTTGGACACAGGGTAGGGAACATCACATACCGGGACTTGTCGTGGGGTGGGGGCCTGGGGGAGGGTAGCATTAGGAGATATACCTAATGTAAATGACGAGTTAATGGGTGCAGCACACCAACATGGCACATGTATACATATGTAACAAACATGCACGTTGTGCACATGTACCCTAGAACTTAAAGTATAATAAAAAATAAAATTAAATAAAAATAAAAATTATGTCCAATTATATATGGGAGATATATACTTTTTTTGTTTAAGAGGTGACACACATTCTGGTTTCAAATTGAACAGCATGCATTGATCTTGAGTGACATCTGTGTGATTCTGGGTCACTACTTTTGGCTTTTGAATAGTTACCATGAGTGCTTGCAAGAAAAAGGAAGCTATCCCTTAAAAGTAAAAAACAATTGTTCACCTGAGATGAATACATTCCATGTGGATGGGCTTCTTGTATATTAAACTTCTGACATTTTATATGTGTTGATATAACGTGATTTTTTTAAAGTGTAGGCAGCTTTTCAGATTCACAAAGAGGTACTTTAAGCTAAAAAGGTTAAGACCATCAGAAACGTAGACTGCAGGAAGTGAGAAGAGTTTGTTAGAATATTATGTGATATAATTAGTATAAAAATAGTATATATTTTATAGAGGGATACACACCAAACTCCTCGTTAATGGTAACCTTTAGGGAGAGAAGAGAGAATTTAGGGTGAAGGGGGAGAAGTAAATGTCAAAGGGAACTTAAGCATTATGGATCATTTATCTCCGTTTTTTTTGTTTGTTTGTTTTTTTGAGACAGAATCTGTCTCAAAAAAGACTTAGAACCAACCCAAATGTCCATCAATGATGGACTGGATTAAGAAAATGTGGCACATATACACCATGGAACATTATGCAGCCATAAAAAAGGATGAGTTCATGTCCTTTATAGGGATATGGATGAAGCTGGAAACCATCATTCTGAGCAAACTATCGCAAGGACAGAAAACCTTGCCTGGGCTGGAGTGCAGTGGTATGATCTCGGCTCACTGCAACCTCTGCTTCCCAGGTTCAAGTGATTCTCCTGCCTCAGCCTCCCGAGTAGCTGGGATTACAGGTGCCTGCCACTACGCCCAGCTAATTTTTTGTATTTTTAGTAGAGACAGAGTTTCACCATGTTACCCAGGCTGGTCTCGAACTCCTGACCTCGTGATTCGCCCGCCTTGGCTTCCCAAAGTGCTGGGATGACAGGCGTAAGCCACTGCGCCTGGCCTCTCTCTCTCAACAAGGTAACATCACTCATATATTTAAAATTTAATTTTAAAATATAAAAGTCTGCCGGGTGCGGTGGCTCACGCCTGTAATCCCAACACTTTGGGAGGCCGAGGCGGGCGGATCACGAGGTCAGGAGATCGAGACCATCCTGGCTAAAACGGTGAAACCCCGTCTCTACTAAAAAAAAATACAAAAACTAGCCGGGCGAGGTGGTGCGCGCCTGTAGTCCCAGCTACTCGGAGGCTGAGGCAGGAGAATGGCGTGAACCCGGGAGGCGGAGCTTGCAGTGAGCCGAGATCGTGCCACTGCACTCCAGCCTGGGCGACAGAGCGAGACTCCGTCTCAAAATTAAAATAAAATAAAAATAAAAATAAATAAATAAATAAAATAGTCAATGGAGACATTGGTTTTGGAGCAAGGAAGTGAGCCAAGGAAACTAAACTGTGGAAGCAGACAAAATCCAGAAAAACTTACATCTTAGGAAGACTGCAGAGAGAAGGGAATAGTAAGGCAACAATTTTTCATAGGCCTGAGGTGCCTTGTTTATGAAATGCCAGTTTCATATTTGTGTCCTTATGACCCATTTTGACCTTGCTGACCTTTGACGATTAGTTTTCTCTTCAGCCCAGCTACTGGATTCAGCTCTGTTAGAGTGGCTGCCCCTAAACAGCATCGGTAAGTATGTTCTCTTTCCTGGCACTGGATTATTTTGAGAGTCTTTGTCGATGTTGGCAAATGATTTTGACCTTCTTCCAATAGATTAGGTTTATGCCAGCACATATGGGTCCAACATTTAATCAGCAGTCCCAGGAAACTATCTGAGGCACTCTGATATAATTACTTTTCCCTAAGTGTTTATTTTGAAAAATGTTAAAGCTACAGGAAAATTAAAAAGAATAGCTTAATGATTTGCATTGTGTATCCTTTACTTAGATTCACCAGTTTATAACATTTTGGACCATTTGCTTAATCTCTGTCTGCATGTATTTACATATTTTTATTTTTTGTTCAACATTTATGGGTAAGCTACAAATATTATATATTTTACCATTAAGGATTTCTTTTTTTTTTTTTTTTTTTTTTTGAGACGGAGTTTCGCTCTGTCGCCCAGGCTGGAGTGTAGTGGCCAGATCTCAGCTCACTGCAAGCTCCGCCTCCCGGGTTTACGCCATTCTCCTGCCTCAGCCTCCCGAGTAGCTGGGACTACAGGCGCCCGCCACCTCGCCCGGCTAAGTTTTTGTATTTTTTAGTAGAGACGGGGTTTCACCGTGTCAGCCAGGATGGTCTCGATCTCCTGACCTCGTGATCCGCCCGTCTCGGCCTCCCAAAGTGCTGGGATTACAGGCTTGAGCCACCGCGCCCGGCCACATTAAGTGACACATAATTTCAGTTTGATCCATTACTGGTGATACTAAATTTTATTACTTTGGTTCACGGAGTATGTGTACCTGATTTCTCCATGGTAAAAAATACCTTTTTTTCTTTGAGGCCAAGAAGTAATCTGATGGGGATATTTTGAAACCATTTCCTGAATAGCCTTTTACCTAATGGTTTTAATAATCATTGATGATTCCTGTCTAAATCAGTTATTAAGTTAGGAGTTGCAAAATGGTGATTTTTAATTTTACCATTCCTTCTTGTATATAAAAGAGCTTTGCCTTTCCCTCTATACCCCTTTATTTTTGCTCTTTTGAGTATCACTATGGCTCATGGATTTTTATTTTTTGTCCAAAGTACTTTAGCCTGTTATTATCATTCTCTGTGTTGCTCAAATTGTTCCAAATTGGACTGTAAGAACCCCTGACGCTGGTGCCTGTGTCCCCAGTTGTCTTTGAGCACTTCCTTACTTTTTGGCACAGGTCTTTTTTTTTTTTTTTTGAGATGGAGTCTCGCTCTGTCACCAAAGCTGGACTACAGCGGCATGATCTTGGCTCACTGCAACCTCCACCTCCCGGATCAAGAAATTCTCCTGTCTCAGCTTCTCAAGTAGCTGGGATTAGAGGCACCTGTCACCATGCCCAGCTAATTTTTTATATTTTTAGTAGAGACAGGGTTTCACTATGTTAGCCAGGCTGGTCTCAAGCTCCTGATCTCAAGTGATCCACCCGCCTCGGCCTCCCAAAGTGTTGGGATTACAGGTGTGAACCACTGCGCCCAACCTGGCACAGATATTTCATACTTACATTGTACATTCCCTGTCCCAGACCTGGAATTAGCCACTTTGTGAGAATTTTTGAGATGATCTTTTAATCTATATTCTCAACAAAGAAATAGTTAAGTAATTTATAGTACACAGGGAGTGGAATGTTATGCATCCAATAAACATAGGATTGTAAATTTTAAATTAACAAGCTGAATCTTAAAATTTTACTCAGTATTATGTCAGTGACATTTTTCTTTTTTCAAGAGATGGGGTCTCACTCTGTCACCCAGGCTGGAGTGCAGTTGTGCAATCATGGCTCATGGTAACCTTGAACTCCTAGGGTCAAGTCAACCTCCCTCAACCTCCCAAAGTACTGGGATTATAGGCATGAGCCACCCTGGCCAGCCCTAGGAAAAGAAAACTTTTTAAACCACCAGAGGTGTCACAATCAAAAGATAAACATATCTTTTCAAATGCCATTAAATATTTGTACAGTCATATCAAAAATGTCACTACAATTTTGTAATCTGTTTTTTCATGTTTTAAAACACAAAATACTGCAATGAAATGCATATACCTTTTAAATGTTCATATTTTAAAAGACATCAGTATTTTGAAATGATGGAAAGCATTTTGAATATTACAAATTAAAATTTGTTAATATGGTGTATTTTAACTGGAACATATTAAAGATTACATAGTGTTTATTGATCATAATTCTTTTTAACCATTCTACTCTTGTTGAATTGAGAATCCTGAAATACATATGAATAGTTCCTCATTCACAATGGCCATCTATGTCATGAATCTTGACCCTGGCTTTGTGTGATTAACAAGTTTTCATTGCAGTGGCCAGTGACTTTCAAGACTTTTCCTAAAAGGAGTAGAGATAACTGAATTCAGAGAGATTATTTACAGATTTTATGTTGGAAACTAGAAGAATCCATCTGGCTAGGGAAGGACATCTTCTCCCCCAAATTAAGATTTACCATCTGGAATATCTTCTTCCTTTGTGAATCCTACGGATTCTGTGTGCTTGCCTGAATTTTTGTCCCTTGTTCTCAGAAAATAATTAGAGCTTTGCAGAATTGTGTGGCGGCAACTCTGACTGTAGCTTTCTCTAGCCCTTCCTAGGATGGCCTTGCTTCCCTGACAACCATGGAAATGGGTCTCAATTCCACAGTCAGAGTCTGATCAATTTCTTATCTTTTACTATACGCAAGATGGTTTCTAAGTTTTTAAGCCAATTATAATTTCCATATCAGATCATGGAAAAGAAAGACATGATTAAAAAAGAAATGAAAGAGTCTTGGTGAGGGAGGAGACATCGTAAAGTGAGAGAAGCTCCTTATAAGTCTTTCAACTCTCACATCTATTTAGATGCAATTACAGCCCTGTAAAGAATACCGGCTC